ATGTTCTGCACCCCAAAAACATGCATCACTTCCCCCCCTGCCCCCCAGAAATGGATGAATCCAGCCAGCTTCCAACCCAGGAGTGCAGCGGGGGGGCACCCTCCTGTCAAGGGCCCCCCGCTCCCCACCCGGGCTCACCTGGTCCCTGAACATCAGCGAGATGATCTCCAGCACGTGCAGGCCCCACTGCTGCTCGGCCGAGGAGCTGGCCAGGAACTTCAGCAGGTCGTCCATGCCGCTGACGTGTATGGCCCAGAGCACCCGGTCATGGGTGCTGGCGTCGTCGTCCACGCTCTGGCACACGGGAAGGGGTGTGGGGCTGAGCGTGGGGCAGGGGCCCAGCCTCCAGCCTCCCCTGGCTACCGCCCCGCCACCGGGGGGAGCTCACACCACACAAGAGCAGAGCCTGGCTTCTCCCTGGGTCTCCCACCCTTCCCCAGGGCACGGTGTCCCAGCGGGGCGATCCCGGAACTCGCTACCTGCCCCCCACGCGGGGAGCGAGAACCGGCTGCAAGAGATGACAAACCCCCACACACACACACTCCGCCCCTCCCAGACTGCCTCCAGTGAGAGCAGCTCCCCCCAGCCCTCCTCTTCACACCAGGGCTGCTGGCCATTCGCCAGCCACACGTGGCAAGGAGACGGAGACCCCTCCCCTGCCCACCAGGGGGATCAGCCCCCACGCTCCCTGAGCAGGGGATCAGCCCCCCCCCCCCATTACCTTCTCCTCCTCGGGGTCGGCGGGGATATGAAGCACGTTCCGCACCAGCAGCAGAATTCTCTCGACCAGCAGGTTGTCCTCTTCCTGCCTCTGCTCCCAGTCCTGGGGGGACCAATGAGAAAGCGACTGACGGAAACCCGCTGCCTCCCAGCTCATCCCAGCCCCCCGGGGGCAGGTTTGGGGCCCATCCTATGGGAATTAGGCACTTGACTCAGTGCCAAACTCCCCTTGCCGTCCCCTCCCCGCAGGCCGGGGCCACACTCACCAGCTGCAGCAGGTCGTAGAGTTTCTCGCTCAGCACCCCGAACACCTTCTCACTGGCGAACGCCTGGCGGGGAGAACCCAGCATGAGGGCCGGGGCCGGGAGGGGAGCGCCCCCTGTGGCATGGGGCGGGAGGGGTATGGCCCCGGGATGCCGGGGTGACGCTGGCTGATGCAGAGCCAGCAGGGGGAGCTTAAGGGCAGACAGGCCTTGTACCCACCCCTCTGGCTCCAGGGCGCAGGCAGCCCCGGTAAAAGGCGGCCAGCTCTGGGGGGGGAGCAGCCAGCCAGGGGGCGGAGAAGGGTAATTTTAGCTCCGGGCACCTGGACACGGATTTCCCGGTCACCCAGAGGCCCCCCACTCCTCCCGGTGGCATGAAGGGGGCATCCAGGGCTGGAAAGACCCATGGATCTCTGTGACCACCCCCCTCCCGCCATTCAGCCCCGTGTCAGACTGGGACAGGTGGCTACTTTTAACTAACAGGGCCACCTTGGCTCACCCCCCGCTGGGATGGGGGCAGCTGCCCCCCTTCCCCACAGCCCTGTTATCCCGGGCGGGGGGGGGAGGGGGGAAGAGGGCAGGCAGCCTCACCTCTTTGTAGGCCTGCAGGTAGGACACAACCTGCAGGAAGCAGTGCCGGGAGCCGGGGTCGTGCGGGACTTTGCCGAAGCAGAGCAGGGCCGGCTGGGTCAGGTTCACCATCAGCCTGTGGGGGAGACGGGGGGGACACAGACATGGCAGGAGCCTCCGGCACCCCCTGGGGCGCAGCCACCCAGCTCTCGAGCGACTTCTCGCCAGGTGCAGGACCCGGCAGAGCGCCTGCTGGAGGCCAACAAGCTTGCTGCAGCCTTGGGATTTAGATCCAGAGGTCCCAGGTTCAATCCCGGCTCACCCACCCAGGGCTGTGGGTTCCTCTCCCAGCCCAGCCCTCTGCACCGCAGCCACCCCAGGAGCTCCAGAACAGAGACTGGGGCCGACAGTTCTGCTCCTTGGGACCCAGGCAACGCTCCCGCGTGGGGGAGACAGATTGTCCCAGACTGCGGAACTACCCGCCACAGGATCCTACCGCTTCCTGCGTCTGCCTCCTCCAATATGAACCCAGAGCAGCACGGACACTGTAGCTATAAGACACCGCACCCCCCCCCCCCCCCCGGAGGGATGCTAGCCATGTGGCTTGGCGCCAGGCTGGGCGGAGAAGCCCGCAGGCTGGGAGTGGACACCGTGGGGCCGTACCTGACGACAGCGTCGAAGAGCAGCTTGTCCTGTGGGTACTGGGCGATGAGGGGCAGCAGGTCGTTCTGCAGGATCTGGGCCGCGCCCAGCTGCTGGCGGACGTCCCGCGTCTCATCCTCATAGCGCAGGTAACGGATCAAATCCTTCACGCTCTCTGGGGGATGGGGGGAGCAGAGGGTGTGACCCCCACAAGCGCCCAGCCTGGCTTCTCTGCTCCACCCACGCAGAGTCCCGGCCCTGCCCACACAAGCAGCCGGTCTCCTCCCCCCCCAGAGCTGGGCGCATCCAAAGGGACCACGCAGCGGCTGGGACGGAAGCCGCTTTGAAACACCCTTCAGGCGGGGCGCTTCTTCCTTTGGGGTCAGGGGAAGGGCAGACTCAAGCACCCAGTGAGGGGGAAAGGGTCGGTCAGCACCCCCCTACTGGGGACAGGAAGACACGGAGAGGAGAAGGGACCCAGGAGTCCCGGGGAGCAGCTCCAAACCAGGAACCCAGCCATCGCCTCCCGGGTCGACCTGGTGAGCCAAGGATCTTCCCACCCAGGGACTGGCTCCCCACAGCCTCAGCGA